GAGACCAGAAATCAAAATATAATTCCATGGATGAGGAGACTGAGGTCTAGAGAGGTCACATGACTTGCCTGATGCCCTGTAAACTTTTCACGTGAAGCTAAATCTGTAGAGAGGGTTTTGGACATCCTTACCTCCTAGGGAATCGGGAAAAGATGCACCAACAGAGGTCACAGTTGGAGTTAAGCTCTTCCACTGGGGATCTTCTCTCCCTACTGCAGGATCTGAGGCATCGCTTTCTCTCTCCCAGTGGACACTGGCCTTTCCTTGCCATAATGGAAGCCACTCCTGGGGTTAGGGTTTCTGCCTTCAAAGCTGGAGCTGCTCCAGCCACTGACTACCTTCCTGCCTCAGATGACCAACTCTTTTCCCTGCACCCTCCAACATGACAGAAAATTAAAATGCAACAAGGGACCCACAAAATGAAAGGGGTTTTTGTATTTTGTAGGGCATATAGATGCCTTAGAGTCAGAAGGCCAAGAGGGTCCCAGGTACTCAGCTGTGCTGTGACTAAACCCTCAAATGATCAGATCTAAATCCATACATATGTGCCCATACACCCGAACACATACATGCACATACACACAAGTGCACGCACACACATACACTATCTGGCAGTGATGACGGTCTGAGCTCATGCCTTGATCTGAACATTTTGATCTCAGGCTGCACTAGCTAAGCTCCTAGTCTTGCCCAGCAAGAGTTAAAAATTATAAATTTTTAAATACTCTCCTCCCCCCAGTTTTCATCAAGAATCATAAAAATATTTAAATGCATTGATTATAAATCTCTCCCCTCAAAAGAATAAATCCTGGGGCCTAGGACACCTTGAGTCTTCCTTTAATCAACAAGAGCAATTCACCATCCTCATTTGTTATTCTCCATGGTTCTCAGCCTTGACTATACATTAGAATCACCTGGGAAGCTTTTCCAATTCCCAATGCCCACGTCTCATCTGGACCCATTAATTAAACCAGAATCTCTGGGGGTGGGACCCAGGCGGCAGTATTTCTACATCTCCCCAGAGGATTTCAATGTGCAGCCAAGAGTGAGAATCACAGCACAAGTTAGAGACAAATACACTGATGATGCCATGAAGAGAAGGTCAAGAATCAAGAATGAGACAGACATGGGGGTCTGCACACAGTGGCCCAGGGAGCCGGAGGGGGCAAGACAGGTGCTTACTTCCTTCCCAACCTGCAACACTTGGCAGAGCTGCCGCAAGAAATAAGGCGTGGACGGGAGCTGCAATAATGCACTAGCAAAGACGGTGGGGACAGCTGCTCTTCTTAGGACTTGAGCACCTTCCTACAAGCCTTCATTCAGCCCCGTTAACTGGAGACTTAGAGGGGCAGGGCAATGAGTGATCGAAACAGGCTGCTCAGTGAGATGGAACGCAAGCCCTTTGTAGGGGGATGCTAGATGCGGTGGTTAATTTCTTAATTCTCATCGCAATTCGGTTCACGGGAGACTCCTGGAATGTCTTTATCCATCACAGATGGTTTGGGAAGATGATAAATTAATATGGTTATCAATGGAGGCATGGCTGAAATGGTTAAAGAGCAGCATCTTCTTTGCCAGCTCTAAAAAGAAAGAGCCCCCAAAGTCCATAAAGAAGACAAATGGTAAACAAAACCTCCTATCTTTTGACAGATTCCAGGATGAGTATCATTCACAAACCATTCTGCGGAGAAAAGGGAGAAATTTATCTCATCTGACTTTGTATAGGACAACAGCCCACACCATAATGAGACTATCCCAGTGCTGTGAAATCGTGCTGAATAGCTGGAGAGTGCAGCCGCCTGTTCCCGGGGCATGTTTATTACAGTCCTTTGTATGCACCAACCCTGCCAGCCCCAGTTTGCTTCTAAACTAGGGGAGGGGAGAAAGAACCCAACAAATTTGTTGCTATGAAACTTCCCAAATGGGGGCCTGCATAATCACGTTTGGAATCTGATGCCCTTGCTCCAGGCTGTTCTTGTCTGGTCCACCCCTGCTCTAAATTGAACAAGGTCCTGAGTCAGCCAATCGCCAGCAGTGTATGGGTGGCCTCGGCCCCCTGCCCGGGTCCCTCCCAGGCCCTGAGAAGTCAGAGGTAAAGAGAGAGGGCCCCAATAGCCATTTCCAAGCCAACTTGGGAATCGAGCCACTGCCAGTCGCCCCGATTCCACTGTGAAATTCGTCTGAAACAAAGAAAGAGGTGCAGCCTTCACCTGAGGACCTCTCACTGGGGCTCCCTGAGGTCAGTCTCAGGAGCCGAGGCCTGGGGGCACCACCATCCCTGAAAGATTTTGGAAGCCTCTGACAGCAAACCATCAAAGATCAAAATGCTGGGCCCAAAGTGTTTCCAACCAAGGAACCATTTCCTTAAACTGTCTGGCCCTGGGAAGACTCCTAAGGCAAGGGGTGGGGCGGGGCGGGGGGAGGTGTGCGGAGATCTCAAGGATATGCATCTCTCCATCAGGGTCTGGACTTCTCCTGAAGTTGTATACTGCCAAGATCTCAGGGTCTCTTTGTTAGGAAGTGTCCCTTGGGGGAACTGAGGCTTCAAAGTTCGTTCCCACATCCCTTGAAGGAGTGACACCAGGAAAGGGAGGACCGAAGGGAAAAGATCTACAACTTCCAAGAGATGCCCTTTTTCACCAACCAGGTGGCAGCTTCCTTGAAGCATTGTCTTTCCTCACCAATCAGGTGGTAGGTTCCTTGAGGCATTGTCTTTCCTCCCCAATCAAAAGGCACTGAGAGCCCCACCCTTTCCTGCCACATTTCTTCAGCAGGACATGACTGTGTCTTTCTCAGCAGAATCCATCCTTAGATTTTCCATTCCAGTGAGTTCTTCTCCCAGGGTTGCCACTAAGGCTGAGGGCAGCTGCTGTCCAGGACTGGGAAGGAAGACACAGCCACCTGGGCTGGCCACAGCATTTAGAATCATAAAACAGGAACAGGCCTCATCTGTCTGCACCTGTCCTCCTAGAAGCCAGCAAAGGAAGCCAAGCTTTTGCATGCCACTCAACCAGAGGGGCAGAGCTCTGGAGATCAGCCTGCAGGTTCCCGGGATTCTGAGCAGTGAGAGGCAGCACGTGGCCCTTGTCCTTGCCCATAGCAATAGAGGGACAGGTAGAGATGACCAAGGCCGCGTTCCTTCCTGCCTCTCCAGGAGACGTGCATTTCGGCTCCGACAGCAGAAACTGGCATGACAGGAAATGACCACGGCCCTTCCTTGTAGAGCCCAGACTTTCCCACCCAGGGAAACAGGACTGCCCACCCACCTGAATGACTGAGGTTGGTTAAAATTTCCTGGCCAAACCCACAAGAAATCTATGTGCAAGCCAGCTGTTTACAAGACCCCTGGCCTCAATTTCTTCTGTAAAAGAGAGACAGCAAATACTCTGGGCACAGGCAAAGGAACTGCGTACCTTCCCACTGTGTTCTCTGAAAACCCAAAGCCATCCTTCCCTGGTCTTGCTGTGCTCACACTTTCCTGACCCTGTTCTAGGGTCTCTTTGCCTGGGCCACCTTTGCATTCTCTGCTCAAAGACTCCTGGGGGAGACTGAGAGAGTTATTTTTCTGATGTGGATCTACCTTTATGTTCAAACTTCTCTTGGCAACCACCAGAGGCAGCCGTAAGTCCACAGATCTGGAAGAAGAGCTCACTTGCAAGACATCCTACTCATCCCCGTGCATTCGGAAGAGGTATTTCTCCTGAAGGAGACACACTGTAAACATGGGTGGTTATTTTTGTGTTTTTTAGAAGAAAAGTGTTTGGCCCAAGCAGACCTGGCTTCATGGGCCCCAAGCTCAGAAGGGCACATACCTGGTTGAAGCTGTGCTGTTGCTGTTTTGAAATTCTTAATAGTTTTTTAAATAAGAAGCCCCTTATTCTCCTTTTGTGCTGAGGCCTGCAAATGATGTAGTCAGTCCTGCATTCAAGTGCCCAAAGTGTGGTGGATTTCCTGTTAAGAAGATGACACTTTTGTTCCATCCAAAGGCTAGGCAGTCACCATGGAAAGGTTCCTTTACTGCAGCTCGACACCAGCCCTTGGGACCCTCCTATGCCAGGGTCTATACAGGATCATGTCAGGACGCTGTCCATGTTGAATTGTTGCCCAAGACCCCTCAGAGGTAAGCATCTTCTTGGGAAGCCATGCTCGGGACAGGCCCTGACCCCAGGACCTGAGTTTTGTAGCAGGAGAGCCCTGGAATTCCCAAAAGCTAATGGGGGGCGGGGGCGCCACTTCTCAATCACCCTCCAACCTAACTAGATTCCCCTGCACTTCATCAGCTCCTCTGAGTCATCTGACCATGGCTTCATTTTTGTTAGTGGGAGAAAAACAAACAGCAGAAAGTTAAAACATTAGTGCTTGCTTCAGTGAACGAAAATAGAGTCTCCCGTCTCCTTTTAATTTTTTTGTCCCACGAAGTAAAACTATTTGCAGATGGATTCAATGTTCCTTCTGAGACCCTGCTCCCAAAACTGCCCACCTCGCTGCGCTGGTGCGTGTCTGTGTGTTGGGGGGTGGGGGATGGTGTGCACACATCCAGAGAAGTGTGTCTGTGTGGATTTGGTAAAAGAGAGTCCTTTGTCCCGAAGGTAAGCCTGGCGAACATGACTCGCGTCCCTGTGGTATGCGGCACACCTGTGCAGAAGCCTGGGCGGAGGAGGGGAGGGGAGGGCAGCGGGCTGGAGGCCTGCACCGTCCCAGGGGGTCACACCTTCTCCATTCTTCTCCTTTGAGCCATGTCTCCATCGCCCCTTTGTTTTGGCTTACACCTCCAAATACCAGGGAGGCCGTGAGAGAGAGAGAGAGAGAGAGAGAGAGAGAGAGAGAGAGAGTGTGTGTGTGTGTGTCTGTGTGTGTGTGTGTGATGACTTCAGTTTATGCCGATTTGTGTGGGGACTAGAAAAAAAGTAGAAAAGGAGAAAGGCAGAGGAAAGACTGGTGTTCCCAATGTCCCCCCACCGCTGCCACCACCAAGGCCCCCGAGCGTGAGTCCAGCCTACCTTTACAGGCCTTCCGGTGGGTGATGGGCTTGCCCATGTCGCGGTAGTAGCCCTCCTTGCAATAGTGGCAGTGGCGGCCAGCGGTGTTGTGGCGGCAGTTGAGGCAGACGCCCCCGCTCTTGCGCCCAGACAGCTTGTAGAGCTCCATGTTGAAGCGGCAGCGCCGGGCATGCAGGTTGCAGTTACAGGCTGCAGGGAAGACAGGGACAGCCCGTCAGCCGCAGGGGTGCTGGCAGGATGGCACCCATGGGAGCCGAGAGATCCCCTCCCCCCAACACCGCCTTCTCCTCCACTGCCGGAGCCAGGAACCGACTTCCGGAGATTTTCTTTGGCTCCCTCTGTCTGCATCCATGAGCATTTATTGAGCACCTAATAGTACCATGGCTATGGCTCCCCCCAAATTCATATGTTGAAGCTGGAACCCCAGTACCTCGGAATGTGTTGTATTTGGAGACAGAGTCCTTAAAGAGGCGACTGAGTTAAAATGAGGCCCTTAGGGTGGGCTTTCCTCCAATTTTACTGGTGTCCTTATAAGAAGAGGATATTTGGATACATCAAGAGACACCAGGGACGTGAACATACAGAGGAATGACCGGGTGAGGACACAGCAAGAAGGGAGCAGCCAAGAAGGGAGGCCTTAGGAGAACAGCCCTGCCCTTCGATCTCGGACTCCAGCCTTAGGAACCGTGAGAAACAACCGTCTGGTGTTAAAGCCCCAGCTCGTGCTACTGTGGTGGGCAGATGGGCTTCTCGGCAGCCGTGTCCCCCTCGCACGCCCCCTCTTCCCCCTGCTGCACCGTTGTCCTCCCCACCGGTGACCCAGCCCTGGTCTCGGGGTCCCCTGGGGAGGACCCTCCACATCATCCTCTCTGATTTCCTCCCTCCTGGCCCCACATCCCCCTACCTGTTCCCTACCTGCGCAGGTAGCTCAGGACTCAGCACCCTTTCCCTGCTCACCTCATACCCTCCCCGGTCTGCCTCCTTCACCCCTCACCCCTCTGAGCTCCAGACTCCCAAATCGATATTTCCAGCCTCAGGTGCGGGTCTCCATTTGCACCAGAGGTGCCTTCCCCACTTCCACTCACTCCTCTCATCCTGCCCCCCCCCAGCTGCCCTGTCACCTGAGCAGAGCCCCCCAGGCCACCTCCACACTAACCAGAGCAGGATCGCTAAGCACCAATATACTCTCGCTCACTCTACCACACGGTTCGCCCTGCTTTTATGCTGTGTGTTCCAAACCACATGTTGTGTTATTTCTAAAGAAACATATGTTTGGTGCCATACACTTGAAAAACAAAAGCAGAAAGGGGAAAAAATCGCACCCCTATTTCCACCAGCAGCTGTTAAAGTAAGGGTCTTTCTTTTCAGGCTTTAACATTTGCTCAGCTGTGGAGCTATTTAATTCTTTCCTAGAAACATGGGTCATACTTGTATAGAGCTAGCTTTGTAGCCTATTTTTTCATAATATTAAACATTTTTTAATGCCAAATACTGTTCTTCATGATTTTTAAAGGTTGTCTGGTACTACGTTGTACAGATATACACAGGGGGCTCGTTGGAGTCTGAAGTGAATGCATTTAAAAGTAGGGCCTCCCAGGGTTGGGCAGTGAGGCTGTTGCCACTTTTTCACTATTATAAACCACACAATGGTAACCACCTTTGAAAACAATAGCAACCACCTTGAACCACCTTTGAACATACATATTTGTACTCTTCTCTGATTATTGCTGTACAGTAAATTTTTCAAGATGGCATTGCTGGGGCCGGCCCGTGGCTCACTCGGTAGAGTGCGGTGCTAATAACACCAAGGCCCCGGGTTCGGATCCCACATAGGGATGGCCGGTTCGCTCACTGGCTGAGCGTGGTGCTGACAACACCAAGTCAAGGGTTCAGATCCCCTTACCGGTCATTTTTTAAAAAAAAAAAAAAAAAAAAAAAAGATGGCATTGCTGGATTAAATTTTGGTTCTACATGTTTTTAACTTCAGATCCAAATTGCCAAATTGCCCTTAAGAAAGGTTGTACTAGCTTACTCTCCCACCAGAAGGATGTGAAAGCTCCTATTTCAACACTCCCTTGAAATAACAATATGCCTTTGGTATCAACATTCTTTTTAAAACAATCTTTGCCAATTCGTCTGGGGGGAAAATATGCACATGATTTTAATTTGCATGTCTTTGATTACCAGGGAGGTTGGGCATTTCTCTACATGCTTGTTTTCCTATTTATATTTCTTTTTCGTGCATTGCCTGTTCATGCCATTTGCCCAGTTTTCAAACAAGGTGATTTTTTTTTTTTGATGCTGTCTTGTGCTCTTCTATACGATGGATTAAACATCATTTGTCTTTCCAACCATGCAAACTGCAAATATCTTTTTACCAGTTTCTTATTCATGTTACTTTTGTGATTTTAAAAAAATGTGTGCCTCTTTAATTTTTCTCTCTGATGTTAAGCTTTTTAAAAAGTTCTTCCTAGAGTCACCCTCCAAATCACTCGCCCATTAGTCACTCAATTTACAAGTGGAGCGGGAGGAGGGCTTTACAGGAGGTGCTGTGTGGGATACAAGAGAAAAAAGAAAAGACAGCTCATACCCTGAAGTCTGGAAGCAGCTGGAAGACAAATTAGACCAGAGAATGACTCCCTAGAGCCTTACTAAGTATCCCCAAGGGCTGAGTTCAACCAGGTGCAAAGAGTCTGCGGCTGGACCCTGCCCTCCTACACAGAGGACTGTCATGTCATGCACATTCACAGTCTCTTTGGACTTACTCTGCCAGATGAGAGTGACAGGGCACTGTTCAGGTAAAGAGACCAACCAGGCCAGGACCGCAGAGCCAGTAAATGGGGACCCAGGACTGGAGCCTAGGTCTTCTGGCACCTGGTCCACTTCCCCAGAGGAAAGGACCTGCATCACTGGCAGTAACAGTTGGGCCTAGACTACAGCCTAGAGTCTGGATCTTTCCTACAAGCACAGAAATCACAGGGCCTGGTGCACCAGCCTGGGGACAGGGATCTGGAAGGATCATCCAGGTCTCACTTCCTCAGGCTCCTCTTGTACCAGGAAAGGCCTCATAACAGCATCTTCTGGTCTTTCTTGGAGGCAGATGCTAATTCTGTGTCCTCCTCTCTAAAGGCAGATTTTGCTGACCTGCACCCCCAGCAGGGCCCACCCTAGCTTCTGAGCCCCCTTTCCCCACCCCAAAGAGAAGCTCAGCTGGTATCTCTCTTACATATTCACCTTACACTAACACGATGTTTGTCCCAAACAACTAGTCACACAAAAGAAAACTCAGAGGCGTAACATCAAAAGGCAGGGCTCCTCTCCCTCCCCCCACTTCTTGGAGCTGTCAGGGGACATCAAGTGGCAATTGCCTTCACTCAGACTTCTGCAAAGTATTTTATGGCTTGTTTTCTTTTCTCTTTGTTTTATTTTCTCTACACAAATGGAAAAATGCATCAGGCAAAGCAGCTCACATCTGAATCCCTCGGCTCCACAGGAAGGTGTCACCCAACTCCCGGCCTGTCCCCAGCCCCATCCTCAGAGAGACACATTAATCCTTCGTGCCTTCCTGTTTATCTCCTGCTTCTCTTGGAGGCAAAAATATTGGGTATTAGTTTCATTATCAGATTTCAAGGCGGGAAGGAAAGGGCAGCTTTGTGAGAAGAGAGGTCAGCCCAGGAGAGAAGGGGGTGGGGGAAGCAGAGAGACTCCTGAGGGACCTGCATGGGCAAGGACAGGGAGTCCTGCCCTGGCCAACCAGGCTCTGCCTCTTACCCAGGGGCCCCCAGCCACCTAGAGAGCCCCCAAGTTTTGTGCCCCGTTCAGCTATCATGTGGGGATCACTAAGAGTGCATCAGGTGTGACTACATTTCAGATCCAGGCATAGTGGGAGGCAGGGAGGTAGGAGCAGGAGAGCCCCCCTCCCGCCCTCAACCAGAAACCTGGCAGGGAGATAGCCCCAAGAGATGGGCTCCTATTTTCCTCCCCCATCAAAAGGTCCTCTAAATCCTATTTTAACACATGCCTGTGACCACTTCTTAGCTCCCAACATCCCATAAGCCTTTCTCAACCCCCTGCCCCCCAATCTGGAATTGCCCAACCCTGTGCCACCCCCTGGGTCAGTTCAACTCAACATACACTTATGGTGCTCTAGCTATGTGCCAGGCTCTGCCGTGGGGACTCAGAGACAGATGACACACTCTCAACTGTCCAGGGTCACCCCATCTAACAGAGAGGGCAGACCAGCACCCAAGTCAGCAACTCTCTGGGCAAGTGGGACTAATGCTCTCTTCAACTGTGTTGGTTCATGGAGGACAGGGACAGTGTTTGCTCTTATATTCTCCAGTCCACAGAAGATCTTGATACATTTTTGTGTACAAATGAGAGAGAGAGAGAAATGGATGGATGAAT